TAATGTAGAATGGGCTTTAGGCGACCAATTGCAAAAATGGACCAATTACAATCGAGTATTCATAAAAATGGCGACCTTATGGTTCGACGATACTCAAAGTGATTGGTCAGTTCTTACGGTACGTCTTACGTTACTGTTATGTCAATTCGTGTACGACGCCCCTTAAGTGTGGTCTACAATGAGCTCTAAGAAGTTAACCAATCACAGTCAATTATAAGAAAAATAATTTCTTACGGCTTAGAGATTAAAGCTTAAATTTCATAGCTTAAGTTCTTATTGTAGACCACGCTTTAGAGGCTTTCTACAATAAATTTTAAGTCGCAATAAAATTAACCAATTACAGTGGATTATTCTTCTAATAGTCGACTATGATTGGTCAATTTTATTATGACTTAAGATTTATTGTTTATTGTAGAATAGGCTTTACGGAAAGCAGCACATTAATTGTTTATCGTGTGCAAACTTTCATCGCGTGGCAAGCGTTGCCGCGTTCTGTGTACAGAAGCCATCATTGTAAAAAAGTAACGATATAAGTAACGATGAATTTCGTTACTCATTACTAAAGAAAATGTAACGCCGTTACTTTTTCGTTACTAATACAAAAAAGTAACGGCGTTACCAAATCGTTACCAAAAAAAAGTAACGAAATAGTAACGTTGTTACAAGTAACGCGTTATTTCCCAACTCTGTATATATATGTAACGCTATTTCGCGTTCGGTGCGGGATAAGCTGCGAGTCGGTGTGGTCCGGATTTGGGCAGATGTAAATAAGTGTGAAGACAGTGGGATAGATATTAAGATGATGTTTATTCTATGTTAGATGGCTACTTACAATGAATATATACAACTTTGGCTCGACGCCGTTGGCCTAACGCTCGGGTTTTTGTGTTCGTCGTGCGAGCGTGTTGACGTTTGCTGCGGTGGATCTCGTGCCGCGGGGTCGCTGGCGGCCGCGGGGAGCGGGCGGTATTATGACGCGTCGATTGTCTCGCGCTTGCGGCGCGATGTTGACGCTCGGATCTTTAATTTCGGTCGCGCGAGGAGAGCCGTTACTCGAGGAGTAATACGGCTTCGATGGCGTTACGCAACGGTGAGCCGGGATGCGTCGGAGTTTTTGCGGAGCGGTCGAGCGCTGTAACGCTGTGCCGCGGTGGTCGGTTCTCCGGGGCGACGGCGCGGCTTCGCGGATGTCGACACTCTGTACCAGGTCTGTAAATATGAAACCGGAGTTTGCCCATAGATGGCCCTAGCTGTCAATGTAGTTACCGTCAAACCGTGTCATTGGCGCCATTTCCTTGTTGATATCTCTGACAAAGATTTTCAACTCACAACAATACAAGTTTCATACAACAGCATAGTTTGTAATAGCGTTGAACATGTCGAATTTTGTGCCTGGAAACTACGATTTGCGGACAGCATTGATTTTCTGTTACCATTTGAAGAAAACTGCTGCAGAATCGTATCGAATGCTTGTCGAAGCTTACGGTGAGCATGCTCTTGGTAAATCACAGTGCTTTGAGTGGTTTAAAAAATTCAAAAGTGGCGATTTTGACGTGAGAAACGAAGAACGTGGAAGACCACCGAAAAAGTTTGAAGACAGCGAATTGCAAGCGTTGTTAGATGAGGATGACACTCAAACGCAACAGCAACTCGCGGATCAATTAAATGTGACATGAGAAACCGTTTCCATACGTTTGAAAGCCATGAGAAAGATCCAGAAGATGGGAAAATGGGTTCCACATGAACTGAATAAAAGGCAGCATGAAAACCGAAAAACCACTTGCGAAATGCTGCTTGCCAAGTAAAAGAAAGTCATTTCTCCATCGAATTGTGACTGGCGATGAAAATTGGATATATTTTGAGAATCCTAAGCGTAAAAGATCATGGGTAACTCCAGGCGAACCATCGACATCGACTGCAAGGCCAAATCGCTATGGACGGAAGACAATGCTCTGTGTTTGGTGGGATCAGAAGGGTGTGATCTATTATGAGCTGCTAAAACCTGGCCAAACCGTTAATACTGAACGCTACCGACAACAAATGATCGATTTGAATCAAGCTTTACGTGAAAAACGACCAGAATATAAAAAAGGCAACACAAAGTGATTTTGGTTCATGATAATGCACCATCACACACAGCAAAACTGGTCAAGAAAACGATTGAGGCGTTTAGTTGGGAAATATTTTCGCATGCGGCTTACTCACCAGACTTGGCTCCGTCCGATTACTATTTATTTGCATCGATGGGACACGCACTTGCTAAGCAGCGCTTCACTTCTTACGAAAATGTACGAAAATGGCTCGATGACTGGTTTGCCTCAAAA